AAACAAAGAGAGACAAAGAAATTGGCATGACTCTACCCTTAAAACTGGAAATGGCCAACTCAAAAACTCACTAATGCATAAGTCACTGCTATAAAAATGTTAGGTAATTAATTTTTATTTTGATTTGTTGATCCATAAAAATATATAATTTAATAATTACTACGACGGCAGATAAATACAAACAAAAAAGTTGAATTTAACTTTGACTTTCCTTGTTTTTATGTGATTGTTATTCACCGTTATTGTCGTTTTAACATTACCGAGAATTTCGTATTTCGAACGTTTTGCTTGTAAGGAAAAACGCTCTTCACTAGAGCCGAGACAAAATTAAAGACGCAAAAAAACAGTAAGTGAAAGCGTAAATGATGGGTCATTAATAGTATGCATGTCCGCAGACCGACGAAAATGTTGTGTCACTTTCGCTTAATACAAACTTGGCTTGTTTAATAACACAATAACGGAAGTATATTGTTATGTAATTTAATGGACAATTAGTCTTGTGTGCAATTTGATGTATTTCGGAAATAATAGGTTTTAGATATTATTCGATCTATCGCGATATTAGATGAAAGATATAAAGCGTCTTGTTTTCTAAATAACACAGTTTCTTTTAGTCACTTTATTATTTATTATTAATATTATAAATGCGAAAGTTTGGATGTTAGAAGGTATCTTCAGAACGCCTGCATGAATCTTTTAAATTTAGTCACAATGTAGAATACAGTCTAGAAGAAGGATATGCGACCCTAATCCCGGAAATTTGTACAGTTTCCGTGATCCCGTATGATTCAACGTGAATCATTAATGAAATCAAATCGATCAAAAGCAAGTTAATCTAAAGAGATGTAAGTAAAATGGTGCCATCTGGTGATTTTCAAATCGTCGATGAACAAAATCTTACCTGATAATTCAAATAGATGGCGCTATTTTACATTTGAGAATATTGCATCAAATTTTTCCTATATCTTCTACACATACTAAGACAAGTAATACATTTTTAAACACATTTTTTTCAGCTTTATGTGGTTCATGATAAAGGTGACATTCGGCGAGCACAACCGATGCAATGCGACCGTGCGGCCCGAAACAAGATTCGTGATCCGCGTCATCTCAAACAAGTTCAGCCTCACAAACTTTGACAACGACATCGCCTTGCTCAGACTGAACGAACGCGTGCCCATGTCTGACGCTATCAAGCCCATCTGCTTACCAACTGACAAAAGTAAGTCAACACTCAAAAGAGCGTTTCCAGAGTAAAAGCAGTAATCAATTTTCGAAGATTTTCACTATATTTTTAGTAAGTCTAAGAGACATCTCTACAATATCACCATTACATATGGAGAGCCAAATCTTGCTTTTTACTTCTCATTAATATTATAAATGCGAATGCTTCAATGCATGGATGGATGTTAATCTCCAGAATTGCTGCGTGGATCTCGCTAAAAGGCACAGCTGTAGAACATAGCCTCGACGAACACATAGGCTACAAAATTTTTTAGTTCCGCATGAACAGAGTTGCGGGCGACGACTGTTTAGTACACCTGCATCTTTGTTCACCAAAGTTATTTAAATTTAAAATACACGGTATAAGAAGACTCATTTGCCTAACAAAATTCTGCGTCATCTAAGAAACTGTCTTGGTATTTGTAAGTCTATTGAATAAATGAAAGTAAGATTTAAATTAGCTTCAGTTTCATCCTGGTTCGTGATTAGCTTATACGATGATAATAACTAACGAAAGTTTTCGATCCATTATAGGAAAAATAATAATAATGACAATATGGAAATTAAAAATACAACGAAATAAGGTAAATCAGTGTAGATGTTATGGTAAGGAAATAAAAAAATAATAAGTCTACCTGAAGTATTTAGTACAAAATTATTTAACATTATACGTATTAAAATTAACATAAGAGAAGTTACGGACATTAATCCGCCTATCTTCTAGTCCAAGTGTAACAATCAATACACTCTCTTAGTTCTTGGCATTCCATAACAGTTTTTATTATAAGCTGGAACACGAGCAAGCAACCACCCGAATTCACCGAAATGATGGAGAAACCGCTTGCTATAGACATCCGCAATTACAGATCCGTAGTCTATTTTAAATAGACGAAGGAGGAGACACACAGAAAGAGAATATTTCCCCTTTCCATTTCCTTATAAGAAAAGTGTGGGAAAAGAAATAGGTTTAAAATTAGGACAAAATAATGTATGGGTGATTTTCCTAATCATCTCCATTTCGTTAATTCTGCAGTCTTAATAATTAATATTTTATTTATTTCTAGCTCTACTATACGTTGGTGTAAAAGCCGTAGCTTCAGGTTGGGGAACTCTTAGTGAGGAAGGAAAAGTATCCTGTACCCTGCAGGAAGTAGAAGTGCCAGTTCTTAGTAACGAGGAATGTCGCAAAACGAAATATACGCCATCTATGATAACAAATAACATGTTGTGTGCTGGATATCCGAAGACCGGACAAAAGGACTCTTGTCAGGTGTGCTTTTAAGATATAATCATCATCAACTTGTCCTTATCCCTACGGAGGGTCGGCACAGTATGTACTCCTTGATACATCTCTACCAGCCGTCATATCTGAATTCACTTCCTTTTTAAGCATTTAAGGTAATTTAATGTTACAAAATGGGGTATCATATTTTTTTGTTAGTCTATTCAAGGCAGTGGTATAGAACAAAATTAAGTTTTATTTTGCTATTTTTAATAAAATATTCAAGAGTTAGGATTGCGGCGATTTAAAAGTTCATGTTCACTTCATATACGTTCCGTAGATGTTGTCAAACAGACGCTACATTTGCGCTTATGCTTGCTCTACGCATATGCTCTATGCCGATAATGGCATATGTATATTTGGTGAAACTTCATGATTTTTCATATTAATTATTGTTGATATTCTATCCGTGACATCGCAATCTAATGAATACATAGTGTGTGAATCATTTAAAAGCCACAACCTAACTCTCACTAGCTTTGTCAAAAAATGTAACTTTGTAAAATTATAAAAATCTGCAATATTTGTTTTAATTAATCTATTTATGTTAGTTGATAAAACGGAATACATTTTTTAAATTACTAACTTGTTAAATGTTACATATATAATATTTCTTCATATAATAATTTTTTGTTGATTTCCAGGGCGACAGTGGCGGTCCACTTGTAACAGAGAGAAAGCATGATCAACGCTATGAGCTGATAGGTAATAAATTATTATATTATCCAGGAATTAAATTATCTAGAACAATTAGTACAGATTTAAACGCATTTGCAACCAACGGGGACATGATACGTAGAACACACGTTCGTCTTATAACAAGAAATAATTCACAAACAGATCAAAAATGAATAATTTTAAACGGATCTCTTTTATTATTCTGATAATATATGTTATGTTATTAGAATAAATTATGTTTGTTGAACATAAGTGATTAATCTATCCACAGGTGTCGTGTCGTGGGGTAACGGGTGCGCGAGAGTCGGTTATCCGGGCGTCTATACACGAGTCACCAATTATATTGATTGGATCAAAGAAAATACTCAAGACGCATGTTATTGTACAAGTTAAAGTATATAAGAAATATCTATGTATTATTAAAAATAGATATAAAATGCCATGTATAAAAAAGATAAATAAAAATAATAAAAAATATATTTGTAATTATTAGAAAATTCGAATATTAAGAATTTAGAGTATATATATTAAATATAATTTCTATAATGTGATATTTAAAATTAAACGGACGTAATACATTATTTCGATGGAATTTCCAAATATCCTTTTGGACCTATTGTATCACACATTTCAAATATCTTGTCGGCTCGGAAGATCGCACGAGTCCATGCGCAGAAGTCAGCCTAGGTGTAGCGGAGCGTATAAAGTCGCGGGCACTGCGCGTAACTCAGTAGTCAAAAAGGTTGAAAGGCTCAGTACTAAAATTATCAGTAAATTATGGATAACTGAAGTTACTATTTTCTTATGGTCGAAATAAAGGTATTACTCCCATATTTAAGATTAAGTTTACTTGGGCGTATAAATGTTTACGATATAGAATTATATATACTAATAAAGTATTTTAATATATTGAGTCTCTCATTTTTACCATAATGCCAAAATCATATCTTAATATTTTAAACTAGCATTCGTCGGCGACTTCGCTTTCTCAAAATTAAAAAAAAAGTAAATCACGCGAACCGAACGCATTTCCGGGATCGTACGCAGTCTGTGTTCTTCTAAACTGTGTTCTACATCTATAACAAAAAGTCATCGACATATGTACATGCAGATCTCCAGATGACTTTTAACAAACGTCCATCTATACATCGATCCATTCATCCAAACATTTGCATTTATAATATTTGTAAGAAGTAAGACTTTTGTTGACGGTAAATAGACATTTTTGTACATTATACAAATGGAAGCAAAGAACAAAAGGTACACTTATCCCAAAGAAAGCAACTGTTATCGAGAGAAAGGCCAACTATAAAGCCAACGTAGTCTCAGGTAAAGTGATAAATAATAAGAAACATACCAAAATTAATAATATTCACTAAAAAGTCACTAAAAAGAGCTTAATATAACGTTGTGCTATTTTTAAAGGTTTAAAAACAAAATAATATATTTTGTTTCGGAGTAAAAACAAATCTATTATTTAACATATAACAATTATTATAACCACTATGTTATAGTCTGAGAGCTAATAATTTGCATATTTAATAATTCATTTAATAATATAATATTAGGTGAGGAATATGATTAATGTATATTTCTATTGTGATATATTATTCCGCAGATTGAAATAAAATGCCAAAACATTTTTAAATCATTTATAAATTGACGACAAATATAAATGATTAACAAGTAGCGTGGGCTTTAACGTAATGATAAAATAACGAATAGTCCTTATTTCTTAGGCGATAAGAATCAATATACAGATTATGACAGATAGGTCATTGATCCCTGAGGTCATTGCCAAATACGTCGCCCATACTGCCTCCAATAGACGCCTAAAACGGTGCTTTCTCACAAGTAGCTTTTTAAAATCAAACATAATTATAAACAATTCGTCTGCTTAATCAAACGTATCAGAAAATTGAAATCATAAAATACATGGATGTGATAAATTTCATTTCGTGTCAACCTGTTTTTTGGTATCTTTTTATAAGTGCTACATTTTAGGGTACCCAAACTTCATAAGCACGTCGAATTTGATGTTATTAGTTAGTGTATTTAAGTACGGAATACAGTGACAACGTTCATTATAATACAAAAATTGCTATTATATTAAGTTAATAAATACTTTTGTTCTGTTATAAGATAAAAATGAAAACAATTTTGTGTTATTTAATATATTTTCTGTGCGTTTCTATCGGAGTTGGAAACACACTGACTAAGGTAAGTCTGAATTCGTTTGTTTTATATAAGTGTGTGTCGAGTACTTATTTGGTATTCTATTCCATTGCTCTTTGTTAGTAAAACGGTATCATGAAATAGCTGTATTATTCACGTTAAAAATCGTTTATTTAAATAAAGTTATTAATATGTAAACACTGACTAATATGTAAATTGCTCGATTAAATATTTTGTCATACACTTAATCCATAAGTACGTTAATATAGTAAATATTTATTTATATTTTTGTAATGTAAAGGTACCGTTTCTTCTACTTATAGCGTATTTTATTATTTCTTAAATAGTTTTTAATATTGCAAATAAACAATTTAGTAAATGAGCCACAATAACTAATTTTTAGTAAGTAATTGAACCATATTTGAAATAATATTAAAAAGAAATTGTTTAATTTCAGGCAAATTTAAAAGTATCGGACAAATCTTACAATGCACATTCTATTTTAAAAAGACAGCAGTTACCGCCATGTATGGATTGTGGTAAGTTAAATAACTATGCTAATACGTATATCATTTACTATCCTAGATTATATTAACCCACTATTTCGGAACTGTACAAAGGCGGAAACATTATGTTTTCACTTCATGCCTGTTTTTGTGTGGTTGGTAAATTTCATCGTTCTCGGGCTATTCACACAGCATTTAAAACTGATGTGAACTCTATCATTACTAAGGGACATTATAAAAATATTTAGTTCTATTTTTGATCGTTTTGGACGACGAAAACTTAATGAACCTACCCCACAGTTGAATAAGAACACATAAATGGTTTAGTTCTGTGTCTATAGGATGTGGTGAACGGAACGAAGAGCCAAGAGTGGTTGGCGGCGCAGGGTCCTATGTGAATGCATTTCCATGGATCGCTCGTCTTATTTACTTCAAGTCTTTCGGTTGCGGCGCTTCTCTCATCAATGATAAATACGTCGTGTCGGCAGCACATTGCGTTAAAGGGTACTTGAAAGTCATTTTTTATCATAAGGTGGCAAACGAGGGAGCGGCCACTTGAAACCGCTGGAATAGCGGCCACTTGAAACCGTTGCCCATAGAGATACGCAATTGCAGATGCGTTGCCTACCTTTAATCGACGGATGTGGGGATACAGAGAAACAGAATATTTTTCCTTCCCATGCACACACTCATCCAGAAAATCCACTTCCATCCTTATAGGAAAGACGACTAAGATTACGCCTCTGGGACGTACACTCATTGACAAAACGCGGAATTGCTTCCACTTCACGCCTGTCTTCTGTGTGGTCGTGGTATTGCAAAGAGCGAACCGGCCAATGCGTGCGAAGATGTTAAAGCGGGCTCTACCAATTCTAATAGATAAAGTGTCACTGCAGACTGTTTGAAACTGTTTGTAGCTGTCATTCTGTTAGTAATTGTTATATTTTATTAATTTAGTACATTTTTTCAGATTCATGTGGTTCTTGTTCCGTGTAACATTCGGCGAACATGATCGCTGTTTGTATGAATCGCGACCTGAAACTCGGTACATCGTGAAGATGATAGTACACAACTTCACTCTAACAGACCTCACTAATGATATCTCCTTGCTGCAGCTCAATGAGCCAGTGAAGTACTCACACGCTATCAGGCCAGTCTGCTTACCTACTGTTAAAAGTAAGTTTTATGTTTGTCATTAAATATTGCTTGAAGGGAAAGTGATAGCTATTGCTTTGGCAATACGGCTTTTAACTCTACTATAGTTATTTCTAGGCTAATCCTAATCAAGTATCATATCAAACTTGCAATGTTAGCTTCCTTAGCGAAGTAATATTCAGCTCTTTGTATGTGTTCTTAGTATTCTGTACATGCGTCATTATAGAATTTTTTAAGCTATGTTAGCTTACAAAATTCAATTGTATAGATTAATTAAATTGAAAATACAATCGATTTTTTACAAAGAAAGATCAGATTTGAATTTCAGAATCGTAAAATGTTTAATTTAGTTGTTAAATTTTTACATTTTATATCTTAGTATTATTCCATTATTGTCCAAAAAATATTACGGTTGAATACCATTTATTTCATTGCCAATATATTACTTCAATCGTTTTTACATTTTTATACAAGATTTTAAGACTTAATAAGAAAAACACAATACCTTATTTAGATTTTGACTAAAGAAGTTTTATTAACGAAGCAAAGTAAAGACCAAAAGTCGCTATATAATTTAGTCGACAGTCGCTTTTATTATCGGAAACAAATGAAAAATCGTCTTTTTGTTATAATGATATACAGATTATGGAAGATTTTACATAGCAATTAGTACTTTATTTTAATAATAACGAGGACGATAGAAAAGAAATGAAAAATTTAAATTGTCTTCCAGTTTTTTAGTTAAAAAAAAAGATTTAAAAAAATGTTTGTAGATATTTTAATGGATTCCGCTGATTTAGACATAAAATTATTTTTACTGGTCTTATTGACATCAAGGACTTGAAGTTATAAAAACAAAATAAACGACTTTTTGAATTTATATATTGTGAAATCGGATCTTTACTTTATTCATAAATTGTATAAAGGTTCTGATTGCCTGTGATAAAGGTTAATGGACGTTAATGGCGATTATTTTCCTTTTCAATTCATGCTTTTTACTTATCGTACAAAACTGCAACATTACAACTCTCGGAAGAACAAAATAATACATAAATCGTGATGAAATATTCTGGTCAGTAAATTATTCATTCAGCTGATGTCAAGTAATAATCTAAGTCGCACCTTATATCATTGAGAAGAATATGTGAAAAAAGAAGAAGTAAAGTTAATCGGAAAGGTGTTGAGTTTATGGGCTATGAAGCTAAAATGGCTGGATTTGATAAAGGAGGTTCAACAGATTTCTTCCGGCAGTCCTAGCAATGAAAAAACAATACGTCAATTCACATCTTTATATTTTGAGGTTGATTCTACCTCTAATCAATGTATTTATGTATGTATATATTTGCTCTACCATAATTATGAGTTTAGTAAAGTTTATAAGTAATAAATTTGTATGTGACAGGTGATCTTTACCATGGCACCTTAGCGACAGTCGCGGGATGGGGAGCTAAAGCGGAGACGGGCAACTGGTCGTGTACACTGCTGGAGGCACAGTTACCAGTCCTAAGTAACGAGGAGTGTCAGAACACTAATTATAATGAGTCTAAGATCAGAGATGTAATGATGTGTGCCGGTTTTCCTGCCACCGCACATAAAGACGCTTGTACCGTAAGTAATCGTAATTTTATTTCATACTAGCTGTCGCCCGCGACTAAGTCCGCGCAGTATTAAAAGAAACTTCTTTAATAGCCTATGTTCTACATCTGTGTAAAATTTCATCGAGGTCCGTTGAGCCCTTCCGGAGATACATACCTTGTAACAGACATACATCTAAACATTCGCTTTTATATTTAATATTTGTAAAACTAGCGGACGCCCGCGACTTCATTTGCGCAGAATTAAAATAAAGAAGCCTACAATACGTCCCCGTGCATCTGTTATCTTCGCGTCAATGTACCTACCAAATCTGATTAGCTGTTCCCGGAGATTAACTGCAACAAACTCGGCCTTGCGGACAGACATACGGACAAAATTTTTAACATCATGTATACAAAATATAATTTGTTTCTCGATATAATAGACATACAAATTTTATTTATATGTATAGATATATAGATATCATTATGTGTTGTATATCTTTTCTAGCTCTTTACCCTTTTTATGTATTGAACGTTCGTTAACATTGTATTTCAAACAAGGTTACATTAACTTAGATACGGCCGTTTTGCGTAACGATTTTAAATTTGTTTTAAAGCATTATAAATCATGTTTATATTGGATTTGATACACGTCCAATATAATTTAGGTACGCTTGTAAATTTTAATTGGTTTATCGGAAATGTAGTATAACCAATAAGTTAATAAACCAAACCGTCATCCTATTTTTTTTAGAACAGATATACCAATGTAATAGGCTTTCACAATTTATGATGCGGTTCCATTGAGTTATGCTGTTTTGTATTTAGAATTATTGTGTACCGACGTTCGCGCGGAATTAACAAAAAAAAATAGTAGCCTATTTGTTCTTCCAGGCTATGTTCTACATCTATGCCAAATTTCAACGAGATTCATGCAGCCGTTCTAGAGATATCTTCTAACATACATCCATTAATCCATCCATCTAAACCTTCGCAGTTATAATACTAGTAAGATTGAGATTTTTCTATGTATCTACCAACTAATTTTTGGTAAAGTTTTAAACTTTAAACTGTAAATTGCATAATTAAGTAGCAATATTAACTTAAATTATAATCATACACAGGGTGACAGCGGTGGACCTTTGGTGGCTGAAAATGTGGAACACGCTTACGAATTGATAGGTAAGAAATTCTTTTTTAATCTGCATTTCTTTGTCCAAAAATAATACATATTTAGATAGATATTTTGTTTATATCTGTATTTTTACAATCTTTGACATATCAAGGTCATTGATAGTTTCGTGATTAAACGGATGTATTCGGGCTCTTTAATTTCAGGTATCGTGTCGTGGGGCTATGGATGTGCAAGAAAAGGATTCCCTGGAGTGTATACAAGAGTCAATAAATATCTAGATTGGATAAAAGATAATACACAAGATGGATGTTATTGCGCATATTAATTACATGCTGAAATGTTTATTGTGTACATTTTGACAGCCCTTTGGACTTGTATAAAGTCTTCAGTCTTCTCTTTGAAAAAAAAAGTAATGTGTCAAAAGTAATATGACGGCAGTGGATTTTTTTTTCTCTATGCAGTTAATTATTTGATTTTCAATTTAGTTTTAAATTAAGGTGTGTATCTTAGTCGTAATATAATCTTCAATTATGTATGCAATTTTTTTTTTAATTTCGTTTTTAAAGTAAACGATGCATTTAAAACGATCAAAGAATTAAATTTCATCTGTTGTGTGTTTTTTTGAGGTTAAGAAGTAATCTATTAATTTTATCCAAAAGTAAACCTTTCAACCAAAAATATGATTCCTACTGTGTGTTATAATTAAAATTCATTTTAAATTCATATTTTTTATATGTGAATAAATTTATATACAAGCAGTAATCTTTAAAACACGTTTGCTAAGGTAATAAAGGTAAGCTGTTAAGACATTATAGGTTTGGATATAAAATAATAGAGATAGAGGTAGGGCTCCCAACTTTAAACAAACGTGGACCTAAACAGTGCAGATAAAAAAGATGATCATTTACATATGTCAACCCTGGATTCCATGACGACCAAACCACGACAGTGTCTTGTTTTACACTGCTAACTCTGACCCAAATTGATCGTTGTCAAACCAGTGTCCTGAATATAGTCACGTTAGAGTTATTGTCAAATCCGAGTTGTCAACCCTAGATGAACTATACATAGATGTAAAAGCTAGACTTGCGGGTGCATCGTCCTCATTCCTGTTCTTAGGTTCCCGTTGAACCGCGAGTAGTATTCACGTCTTAAACATTCTCATGTCAGATATTCCAATATATTCGAATATTTAATTAATGTTGTTATGTTGGTAATTTAAAATGTGCAATATTCCAATCGTTTTAGTTTTGTGTGTGATGGCGAATTGTTTGGTAAGTTTCTTTTGTGATACGTAATTTTATTAAGTATGTCTTAAATATTTTAGTTTCTAGAATGTCTGATCATTGATAGGAGATTTTTTATTTCTCTGTTGTTGAGGCTGGAAAAATATTCATAGACATCTTACATTGATTTTATACTAATTTATGTGTTATGACAGATTTATAAAATTATGCACCAGACTATAGATTATTTTTAACAATAATTTATTACTTTTATTATTCTAATTTAGTCTTAATTGAATAAATACATGACATTGATATCATAAATTACAAAATACCGGATTTATTTTTAATACCAAATTAATCCGGTACCTCATTATGGTTGAAGAAACAAAAATTTTAGTACCTACACATTTTTATTTATTTTTTTATCAAACTTGCAATAAGAATGAGAAATTTAGGTTCTAATTTATTAAGCGGTTTAGGTCGGGTATATCACGAACTGGTTTTATAAAATAAGGTGTTTTAATAAAAAGGTAAAAGGCGATGATCCAAGGGCAAGCGGACACGACCCATATGCTGAGAGATATGGCTGCAATTGTCGTGAGTATTTGAATTTTTTAAATTGTATTTAATGTCAGGGCCAACATATATGGCCTACTTAAATCAGTTGTACTGCTATTGTTTGAATTATAATTTAATTTCGTGTTAACATCGATCATATAATGTAGAGCGGTCGTGCGCAGTTGAGCGGTTAATCGGACCGAACCGATATCTGCACGTGCGATATCCGCCGTACACATATGTGTTGTTCGACTTTCAAATCTTAAATGTATACATTGAACCGACGTTCCTAATGTGAAGAAAAACATGATGTAACCTGTATGTCGGCAAAGAAATTCAAAGACATGTGTAAAGTTAACCCGCAGTGGGCCAGTGTGGTTGACTATCGGCTTCACCTCTAACATGGATAGCCATGAGCCTCTTGGCATGGACCTTTATAAGCGGATGACAATCTATTAAATAAAAGGATAACTTATACGTTAATAATTATTAGTTTTACAAAACATATTTGTTCAGGTCTTTCTACATTTTGTTTATGATGTTGAAGACGGTGAAAATGATGATGATGATTCAATGTTTTGTGTTCAAAGGTTGTGGTGAGCGTAATGAAGCATCCCGTATCCTCGGCGGCGAGGAGACGAATGTGAACGAGTTCCCGTGGGTGGCACGACTCACTTACTTCAACAAGTTCTATTGCGGCGGTATGGTGATCAATGATAGATATGTACTTACTGCCGCACATTGTGTTAAAGGGTTAGTTTTAGATGTCTTTTTACTTGTAACATAATAATAAGTAATATTTAATATAAGAATTCAATTGTTATCTAGTTTATAATAGTATTGATGCGTTAGAATTCTCTTTTTAATTATATTTATATCAAACTTTCTGCCATGTTGTATTCAGTTAAACTATTATGAGTTCTTCGTTCTACGTCTTTACAGTAAAAATAATAGAAATATGAATATTGTTGATATTTGCTTTACTTATAGACAAACATTACTTATTACCTTTAAGTTCGATCAACATTTTTTTGCAGTTTGATGTGGTTTATGATCAAAGTGACATTGGGAGAGCATAACCGGTGTAACGAGACGCATCGGCCGGAGACACGTTACGTCATTGAAGTGATCGCTCACAACTTTACCTATGTGACGTTCAAAGACGACATCGCACTACTCCGACTGTCTGATCGTGTGACTATTACTGATACTATCAAACCTGTCTGTCTGCCGCATAATGACGGTGAGTATGAGTCAATTTACTTTAGTATGGTACCGCGATACCCAAGACGGACGATCCCAGACGGGAAAATAAAGTTAACATGTTAAACGCTATAGTAGAAGTAGAAAAAATCACTAAAAAACTTTTTGCTGAAAATAGATGCGTAATTTAGAATCTTCAAAATATATCTATCTTATAGTTTCGGGTTTAATGTAGCTGTCGTTTTAAAAAAAAGAAGTTATGTTCCTAGAGAGTGTTTAAACATTATTGAATAATGTAATCGGATCTACGATATTATGTTTCTTAATGTATATTCTAGACTATTCGTGTTATTTCTCTTTGATTAATTGATTTAAACTTGTATCAATTTAAAAATGAGACTGGATTTATTCTAATAAATACGGTATGCTACTGTTCATCATTAGTCTTATCTAAAATATGGAGAAATACATTGAATAATGAATAAATTAATTTTATAATTAACTTAATTATAATTTTTATCTATTTTTGCATTCTTTGGTGGTTTCTATTTTTTTGTGGTAAAGTTTAGTTGTGCTAAATTTTAGTTAAAAAAATTAAGGGCTCCCCGTGTGTTGAGAGATAGACAACATGTACCTTTTTATACGTAATTATACATAATATAGCCTAAGTAACTATATGCGGTAAGAATGTTATGAAATTTTTCATTTAAATTAATTCGAAATATTTCTTTCAAAATTAATTACTGTTGAATAATGTTTTCTTATTAACAAAATACATTTTAAAACCTTAAATATTATTATGTCATGGCACCATAACTATCTCATTGCTTTTATTGTACTGTTAATTAGAATTTTTTTCGAATTTTCGAATTTTTACTAAAGACTTTATATGTGGGCTAAGATAGGCTAGACTAAATTAGGAAATATTCCTTTCTATGTCATGTTATCACTAATATTAGAAGATAATAATTTAGTTAATATAAAGGGTTCTATAGTTTTTTTTTTTAATTTTTATCGATAAATTATTTTCATATTATTACTTTATGTTGATATAAAATAATTTTTCAGAAAACACCTATGTAGGTGTCAAAGCTATAGCAGTTGGCTGGGGCTCTGTAGGTGAACAGAAGAACCACTCTTGCTATCTTCTAGATGTAGAACTACCAGTTTTAAGCAATGAGGAGTGCAGGAACACCAAGTACGAGACGTCAATGATAGCTGACAGCATGCTCTGTGCAGGCTTCCCAGACAAAGGACAGAAGGATACCTGTCAGGTAATTTAAAAAGGACAACGCATCAACCCTTTTGAAGAAAAGAATTACATTTTTTATGAGATCTATTACTAGATGTAACTCTTTACCCTGATCAGATTTTGAGGGGACTTTTTATGTATTTTTCGGTGAATGCTTGTACGAGTTTTTGATTTGAAAAATATAAAATACCTCAGTAAAAAGGTGTTGGTATGTTAAATGTAACAACAATCTTATTTTTTCTTCAGGGAGACAGCGGAGGCCCTTTATCAGCTGAAAGAGGAGATAAACGATATGAACTGCTAGGTAAGACTTTTATTTTTGAGATTGCACATATCGAAATTAGCTATAAAGATGATCATTTCCTTTGTCTGTTAAATAGAATACAGGATGATTATACATATTGTTATTTAACTCCATGTAACCTTATTCAATTCCATCCAACTGCTCCCATTGTCTTTTCAGGCGTGGTGTCTTGGGGCATTGGTTGCGGTCGTGCTGGCTACCCTGGAGTGTACACTAGGGTCACCAAGTATTTGTACTGGATCAAGCATAATGCGCGTCAAGGATGCTTCTGTGCTGATTGAATCTTATCAAGTTACTAAACATCGCACTCGAGAGGCGTTTAATGTTTTCTTAAATCAAGCCATCCTACGAAAAGAGTTATGTCTTTTATGTATCCTATGAGAAATGTGACTGTTTTCGTCGCATGTGTCGTCGCATAGTTTTTTCTTTTTTCTTATACTAAATTTAAACTAAGGGTATTGTAGCCACTTAATGACTAGCAGTAAAAAGTGTAGTCAACAAGAAAAATATTTATTTTATAAGAAAAAAACAATGTTTTTATGTATTACTCATTTGTTTAATTAACATAAAACATACAAAAATGCTCAGCAACTACAATAATTTAAGTAATTATATTATCAAATAAACATTTGTTCAGCAAAATATAACTAATCTTACACATTTAATTAAAATACTCAAAGGAATAAGACTTATTTACAACGACAGGTTGTAGTCTAAGAGCCAATGGGAGGTCTACCTTCACCCATCTGCTAAACAGTTGGTACATTTTTTAAAAAATATTATTGATGAAACATGCTTATGATAACTTACCTATCGAAAAGTGTTCGTGGTTATATTTAATTGAATTAATTCAATTTAATTAATATGTCTCATCTGATTATCAGATGGGTGAAGGTCGATCTCCCACGGACTCTTATACTATTGGTTTAATTAATTCATAACCAATTCCCTCCCTATCTTATAACCACCTGAAAACAGTGGGTGTTTCCCATAAGGCCGATCAATCGGTGGTTTGATAGGTCCAACGAGAAACAACAAAAATATCACGTTATTATTTTAATGTTCGTAAAACCTGAAAGAAATATTATCATCTCTGTTTTATTCATATAGAATGGGCAATAGTAAAAATATGAGTGCTGCAGCATTGAAACTCACAAAGAAACTTTCTTCAATTTAAGCTTTGGTAAAATTTCTCTTAATATTTTTGTTATTAACGTTTATAACGTCCATTTCGTGGAATAGTGGTAATCCTTGGTCATTTAGATTGGCCCCGGGTGCTTCGTATTTAGTAGTATAGCTAGGATTGAAAGGATGCAGTGGTCCGATAGCTGTGACCCTTGCTTTAGCGTCATCGTTACCAAGAGCATAATGCGTACCATCGCCTGTTCTAATAATCCTTTTTGCGACCTGAAATCAATTGCTATATGTAAATTATTGTATCTTTTATAATTTCCTCAAAAAACGGTCGTAATCAACCGAGATGTTTTCGATCAACTTCTTAAAAATACAACCTAATAACAACAATAAAGATTTACTACTATTAAACATTTTAATTAGGTAATATTTTTCATTCTAAGATTTAAATTAACAATGTAATAATCATTATTAATATAGTAACAATGTTAACTTTTCAGATTTTATGATTTAAGTAGCAGTTGTCCATGACTGCGTCCGCGCTGATTTAAAGAACTTACTACGTAGCCTACGTCTTCTTCCAGACTAATCTACATCTGTGCAAAATTTAATCAAGATCCGTTGAGCCATTTCGGAGATACCTTTAAATTTATCCATCAATGTAAACTTTCACATTGATATTATAATATTAGTAAGATTTGTAAACAATAAACAACAATGAAGTCAACAGCCACTTCCAAGAACATTATTTGCAATTAAGTTTTAAGGTTAGTTGGCAACTTACAAGTAATTAACATAACAAGTATGGGGCTATATTTTCCGGAACGACTAATGCATTTTATGTCACAACTTCTTTTCTTCAGATAAAGAAAATTTAAATAATTTAAAGCAAACAAAATTTCAAATAACCTTACCATTTCTGGTGATGCTGTCTTCAAGTTGTACGCAAGACCAATCTTTTCAAGCCATCTTATTATGATTGCCGATACATTGAAATGCATCGAGAGTTCCGCTGCTTTGTAGTCCCAGGGGAATGTGTGGTGGTAGTTGTGCCAACCCTCACCAAAGCTTAGCCAAGATACAAACCAGGATTCCACGGGTTGAAGATTTCTGAAATATTTCGTCTTATATTCGCATCAAAAAAATCGCTTATTTGTCTCCGAAGGACAGTAACGGTTTTAGTTCTGAGGTCTAGCATCTTGGGCAGAATGTCTACGGCGCCCTCTTTTTTACAGTAAAACTATTTATTCAAAAATAATAAATCAATAGGTATTAGTATCAATTGTTAGGAAGAAAATCCGACACTATGCAGGTGTACTGGCGCAGCACTAGCCTTACTAAAATGTCGACGTTTATGTCCCCTCACTAATGATTCTGACACTTGACTTGGTAACGAAAGCGCGCCATTCGCGCCAAAGGATTCTAACTAATAATGTCTAAAACTTACTGGTCATAAGGTCTGGTACCGAAGAGATGAGCGGCACTGTTCACCAGCCACGTACCATTCACTTGGAAAAGGTATCGGAAGAAGTAACACACTAGCAACGAATTCTTAAAAGACTCTCCAAAATACTGAACCGGTACCCAAACAGGAATAAATAGCGCGAACAACGCGTATAGTGGATAGTAATACCTGAAACAAAGTTATAATTAATTAGTCCAGAGAGTAGTTGAATAAGGCCTATCCCTAACATGAACACTAGAAATGAGACTTCGAAGCTCTCTGTGAGGACTTGTGTAAGCTGACGACAAGAATAATTAGCTCTTAGTGAAGCCGTTTCCGTCAAGTGAAAAGGCGAAAGATAAAAAACTGTATACTTACTTCTTTTGGAACATCACCATCCAGTCAGCCTCTAAATCGCTCATATCGATCCTCTTCCCCAACTCAATGACATAAGGATGTTTCTTGGACATCAACCATCCTATGTGAGAAAAGAAAAAGCCTCGCTTCGCGTTATGAGGGTCCGCGTCTGTGTCGGAATAACGGTGATGCAGACGATGATCTCTGCACCAAATGTACATCGAGTTCTGTGGACAAAGAAAATACTTTTATAATCTTTATAAATAACATCAGTCCAATCCCGAATACAATAATCTCGAATTGCTGAAATAAAGGTAAGTTTCCTTTGTACTAACAACTGAATATCAACAATATTTCCATGCCATTCTCTTTGAATAAAATCAGGGATATAACAATCTTATACAGATGTAACAAGGTAGGATCTTAATTTTTCTTTTAATTTTTTTCTCCAAAAATCTGGTTCATCGTTTAGAAAGATATATATACGTGCTTGTACTTTGTTTTGAACTCTATCTACGACTCATGATCGCTTACTGAGTTCTGCTGATTTACATTCTCAAGAGCCCAAAAAAAATATAAAAAACAAAAGTAACGAATTACCTGTCCAGCTATTGTTTGAAGCGTCAGGAGAATACCTCGCAAAAGAGGAGTAGCTGTAAAGGATTTGTGTGAGTATAGTCTGTGAGCGCCGATAGTTATCCCTTCAGATGAGATAAACAGGATAAAAAAAGCTGTAAACAATAAAAAAAATTAGAAACTTACTTAACTTATTTGTTTTGAATAGAGATCTAAGTTATCTTACCCCATAATGCTGTTTTGATGCCAACACCTCCTGTAAAAAAGATGAACAAACCCCATAATGCTAATAGATGTAGAATCAAAAATCCAATAGCATTTTTCCAAACAATTTTATGTTTATAAGTATAATCGGTTCCAATAATTCTGGCTGGTGTATAATATTTTTTTATTTTTGAATCTAAAGCAGGATCACTCCCTATTGCAGTGTGTCCTGTTGACAAATCTTCAGCTGTCATCTTGTTGGAATTTCCTATCTTACTGGTCCAAATGTTATTAACAATATGCTTATAAAGGTGTTTGAGTTCTGTGTTAATAAAAAATTTTCTTATTGTATTCAAATAGATTGTGTAACGAATGTAGTACTTGAACTACAAGTTCAAATAATAGGTACTTGTTTTAATTTGTAATGTACTAATATGTTGATTTCATATGTATCTCGTACATTGTTTTCAATGTCATAACATTTATTTAAAATATATTGTCATCTCTTTCAATCGTTTTGAAAAAAAAGAGACCAAATTCAAGATAGTTGCACGCGACTCCGTTCGCGCGGAATTATAAGTCTAATATTAAATATAATCTATTTCACACGAAGATAGTGTTGCTTCCCAACAATGAAAGATTATTTTTTTTTAATTCAGTAGTAGTAGTTTTTCTATGTGGTATAGATGCGACGGTAGAATCACGTGGCGTGCGCTTCGTCCACACAACGTTGAATCGTATACGGGAATCGTCTATTCGATCAACTATATAGCATTTGTTCCATCATCATCTTGAAAATTTCAGCGACTTCTCACTTAGATCTTGACAAAAATGTTGCGAAAGACTGGATATGGCGACAAAAGAATATAATGTCGGCGACGCGCCCTGTTTACAAAACTCTAATATATTGTATTGTGCAAGTCGCTTAACGACTAAAATCGCCACGTTGTCTTATGTACAAGGGGACTTAGACTTGAGTAGCTGAACCGAAAAAGAATATTTTGTTAGAGTCTTAATATTTCACGTACAGTAAAATTCTACAAATAAATTTTAATAATATTATTTAATTATATAAATAATATCACTTGTTAAAATGAAAAAGGAGTTTTAACTCAGTAGTCACTATAACGCAATATTAAAGTTCGTATCTGATCTCACCTGAAAACACATGAAAACACGTAGAGGACGGACCAATCAATGTATAAGGAAAATGACAAAAAAACTAATATACCCCAGTAATAAAATCTTACTAATATAATAAATGGAAATGTTTGATTGGATGGATGGATGTTTGTTAGAAGGTATCTTCAGAACCGCTGCATGGATCTCGCTGAAATTTGACACAGACGTACAACATGGTCTGGTAGACTACATAGGCTACTAATAAAGTTTTTTTTAATACTGCGCGGACGGAGTCGCGGGCGAAAGCTAGTTATTTTAATGATTATACGGCAATCTATGAGTTTATTTTATGATAAGCACGTCACTTTTGACCTTAGTATTGTATTAATATTGTTGGTATCATAAAGTGTTCTGTGAATCAACTAAAGCAAATTCTTATTGCAACTATTTGTACCAATATTCTGGTCATAGTTTTACGATATACCAGGTTTGTTAAGTATATTTAAAAATCTTATATTCATTACGTAACAATAAAGAAGTAATCGTTTGACAAAAAACAATGAAACACGACATTCCTTGGCTGTTTACATTTAAAAAGAAAAATAGCATACGATTTTTACCAACCTTTTTCCACAACTTTAAAAACAGTTATAAAACTGCGCAATGCATCCTAACATAAATTATGCTCGAGTGAGCTTCCAAATGAAATCTTGGTTTTAATTAACGTTACGCATGCGAATTATCAAGATATGGTGCTGAGTGCCCGCTAACAATGTGTCTAACATACGTTTGTTTGTAATATGTACCCAAATATAATGAAATTATCACTGCTATTGTTTTATATCATCGTCAAATATGTAATTATACCTTACTTAAGCTTTAATATTTCATAATATAAGCGTTTTAAAGATGTATTATAATGGTTTTTTCTTATTTTTTTGTTGTAGTGTGCTGGAGAAAATATCAATTATTCATGCGGTAAGAAATTAGTATTTGTATATGTCAGATCAAGTCTTAACTAGAATTATCCAATATGTCAGTATTAAATACTCAACATCGGCACAGTAAATACTACCCCTCCATACATCTCTATCAGCCGTCATATTTGAATCTACCCCCTTCCTTCGCATATACTCTTTCACACAATCCATCCATACTTTCTTTAGTCTTCCCCTACCTTCGTAGCCATCCACATACAACCTCATTACTTTTATTTTGTCAGTATTAAATGCAAGTATTATTTTCTCTCATTTCTTACGACGACAATGAAATATTTCTTCGCCATATAATACCAGTAGAAATGCAATAGAAATCCGTATGTCTTTATTAACAAGTTCGAATTCCCATTGTTTAAACCTCCTTAGTGTATTGTTTTCTAGATTTTATCCAACAATTCAGGTTAGTTGTCTAGTAATCTTATTAATCCTCTTCTTAATCATCAGCATGCATTGTGTACTCAATTTTCATTGTTTTTTCTCGTTCTTGACTCAAGATATGAAAAAACAATGCACCTTTATTATTTTTTGTCAGGGATTAGAATAGTCTTTTTTTTTTCAAAAGTTCGAACAAATTATTCTTAAAAATAAAATATAAATCAAAATTTGAAGAATTATCAACTGTCTAGATAAAATAATCAAGAATATTGGTAACCTGATATGCACTAACCATAAAAAGTGTCACCCTTTTTAATTTCTTGAAAAGATTGATTTTTACTTTCTTGAAAAACTCATAACTCCTATGCCTTAAATGACTGTATTCGACAAAAATATAGTTATGTAACATTTAAACGAAGGCGAAAAGAGTATACATAGCTTCTAAAAATATCTAGTTTATATATCATAGAATGCGGGATAGCTGGTAAGAACCGTCGCATAGTAGGAGGGTCTGCGGTGCAACCACACCAGTATCCGTGGCTTGTGTCGCTTATGTTGGGTCAAAAGCTGCACTGCGGGGGTGCCATCATCACTGACCTTCACATCCTTACCGCCGGACACTGTATAACCTTTGGGTGAGTACGCAAATTTTAACCTTTGCAATGCCCAATATTTGACACCATAAAAACTATAAATTAAAAATGTAATAATCTCTTTGTGTGTAGATTGTGTGGTATTTATTGTTTCCTTTAGTTTTAATAAATTATAATTAATACTAAGTAAAAGTAAGTGATAATATAATCGTCATATTCAGCCCATATTCTTATATTCAGTGCTGGACGTACGCCTCCCCCATATATTGCCACAAAAGCCGTCCTGTGCCGCCCGCATTCAGAGCACTACCACAACCTTGACCAGGTCATCGGTCTTTCGTGCGGAAGGTCCACCTACGCTGCGTCGACCTGTCCTCGGCCGCCAATCTAGGACTTTTCGACATTATTTATTGTGTTTATTGACTTTTGTTCAGGGTACATTTCCGGGATCTGACAGTGAACGTGGGTATGCACGACCGCCTCAGTTCTTCGTTCTCCGTGTTCTCTGTCATAAAAGGTGAAAAGCATCCCAACTTCAAGTCAAACGCGGTTCGAGACATAAACGACATCGCCGTCCTAACTCTGGACAAACGATTGAAATTCTCCGATAAAGTGCAGCCGATCTGTTTACCGAATGCAGGTAATTGTTACTTTAGTTATTTATTTTGTTTTACTAAATTTATTATAAAGTGTCCAAAAATGATGTTAGTTTTGTGTCAAATTGTATTAAATAAAGCAATGTGAAATAAAATCTTTTAGTTTATAACATTATTTTTAGTTTTAGTGTTCCTTGAATGTAATCTAATTTCCTTTTATTCTTTTATGTTTTATACAGACATGGAATTCAGTGACATAGTACTAACAGTAGCTGGATGGGGTAAAACTAGACAAGGCGCGTTGACATCTTCTAGATATCTGCAAGAAACTAAAGTAAAACAAGTTGATTCTGATGAGTGCACAAAATCAGCTATATATAAAGATAACCTAGTCCCCGAAGCAATGATGTGTGCTTACAATCTTGGGAAGGATGCGTGTCAGGTACGTGTATTACCTATTCAATTCGCGAAAAATATTGCTGTCCTTTTCATTATCTTAAAAGTAATAAGAGAAACAATATATATTTGTATGCAGGGGTTTTATTAGTGGAAACTTAAGTATTAATTAATAATTTTTGCAACTTAGAGATACAAAAATTAACGAAGATTTGCTCCTTAAGACTGGCAGCTTAAAATTGCCACAACAATCATTTTTCTTTTTTTTCTTAAGTGATTTTTAAAAGTATTGCGTTTTTTTGTATATTTATAATAAATTTGTATTTTACATGCATTTAGTTTGACTATAAATTTAATACCGTGGAGAAACAACCAAATAAAATTGATTTACGGCTATTATACTTCGTAATTATATGTTTAAATATACAAGAACATATAATATATAATCATAATTCAACTTATTGTTAAACATAGTTGCAAAAAATAATAAAATTTTACTAATATTATAAATGCGAATGTTTAGATGGATGTTTGAAGGTATGTCCAAAATTGCTAAACAGATCTCGCTGAAATTTGATTTAATTGTAGAACATAGTCTGCAAGAACACATAGGCTACTAATTAAGTTTTTTTTTTTAACTCCGGAGTTGCGGGCGACAGCCAGTTTTAAATAAGTTGTATCTTCTTTGTAGAAAATGAGGTTGTAAAAAGGTTTTAATTATTTCAGGGAGATAGTGGCGGACCATTGTTTTCAACTCATCCAGCCACTCGCAATTCAAAATGGTACCAAGTCGGTAAATGTCGATTTTTATTTTTAATCAATGATAGATTTGAATACAAAGGTATGTCCTCTATCCTGCCTCCTATACATTGTGGTTGATGGACCATTAGCCGTTACCATAAAGTGTAATCCTTAAGCTTCTATATAGATTACGATACTACTAAGAGAATACCAAATACGAACCTACGATCTCATGATCAGTACTCTGTTCCCTTAACCATTAGACTATGAGTGCGTTCATTGTTGTACGTACGAATAGTTTAGTAAACAAATGTGTTATTAATTTAATATAATTTTATCTAAATATATTGATGAAAAAATAAAATTTTATTTTCAGGAATAGTATCTTGGGGTATAGATTGTGCTATGCCGGGTTACCCAGGTAAGTACTATCCATTCTAATTATGACATACATACTTAATTTTTCCTAGCAATTTAATGTAGTCATAGGTGATCGTTTCTTACTCAATTGACAAGAGGGCAATGTGTTTGTGATTGTGTAAGTACATATGTTTTTAAATTGGTTTGTATAGGCTGAACCGATTTTGACGAGTGAGGTGTACATTCAATTGGTATTTTTATACCGATTTTTTAAATTATTATTTTGACCGAATACCATTAAAGTGAGGCTCTAGGTGGAACGTTTCATTTGTGCTAGAAGTACTCTATTCTGTGCAAGATTCCCCCTTATGTTTAACTGCTACGCTCCATTAAATCCAATAATCCCCGTTTGGCCTCCAATATGTTCTATGTTTTTTTATATTTAACAACCAGTGTTTTATTATTTATATATTCCAGGTGTTTACACGATTGTGTCAAAATATATTCCTTGGATCAAACAACAAACAGCTGAGGGAACGTATTGTAGATAGTTATTATAGATACAAATGAATTCGAAGTTTTATAATTCAATTATATACCTATATACATAACCCTTGATAGAATATAATTTTGATTAGAAAAACAATGTTATAAAAAATAAACAATAAACTACAAAATTTCGTATTAATCGAACAGAATTTCCATTTTATTGATATGTTGAAACGAGTAGAAAATTTTAATGTTATGTAAAGTTTTTATAAACATATCAGAAACCAATATGTATCGACAATCGACACGTTGTTTAACCGATGTTTTTAAATTTTTTATTCTTATATTTATAAAGTATTTATAAGCAATTTTGTTACTGTCCATTTTGGTGGGAAAAATTATAAGTTAGGTTTACAGAGATTAGAAATATTCGTATAATATTCATACAATGCCGTGTTAAATCTACAAGGACATTATCGCGTGCATAATTTCCGCAGTGCAAAATCGTGTAAACCGTAAATAAGCATCAAGTGTCGTAAGCAGAAAGTAGTGCGGTGACTGTGCCTTGGACTGTTTGGTGTTTAAAAAAACAATGTTTTATATCTTTATTTTTTTCACCATAACACAGGTTAGTACCAACATGTTAGACGAATATGCATGATACTGCTTTTTCCTCAATTAATAAGTAAAATGGCGAGAATTTTCTATTTCAGTTACAATTGCTATGGGGATTAGATTGTGGTAAGTAAAAGATTGTTACTAGCTTCATATTACATTCACGAAATGGAACATTCCTACCATAAACATTGCTTTCGTTTCTGATAAGAAATCGATAAAATAACACAAAACTTAAATAAAATAAGATGTTTCTTTACTTTTAAATTCAGTACATTTTTATAAAATAACCCAAAATTTAATGTTATATCTTGACAGTAAAATTATATTATTAATCGGCTGACTACAATTGGATTACTACAATTGTTTAAAGTTTTTAGGATGTCTTAAGATGACATGCATTATAATTTGATTTCAAGGAATGCAATTAACGCTAGCTAATTTTTTTGTAATTGCCCAGAATGTGGGAAGCCGTCAGATTCAGTTTTCTCCATGAGGATAGTGGGTGGCCGGAGAGCGGAGCCACATTCGTACCCTTGGACTGTAGCCATTATAAACAACGGCCGTATGCACTGCGGGGGCGCATTGATTACTACAAAACATGTACTTAGCGCTGGACATTGTTTCAAATGGTAAATATTACTTGAACTTCTTAGCGGCTTCTGTAAAACAAAAAATATAACTACTAACATTTTTAAAACCCAAATATCTTCATATTATTCTTACCGTTTACCTTTTTTTATCTTTGTTTTTGTATCTGTCTATAAAAGTATGTAACGCGTCATTAGCTCTATAAAAATCTTCAATGCCAATATTACGTTCATAGTAAAATTAATAAATTATGTAAAAAAGAAATAGAGTTCTATTCTTTCAGGGATTCGATAAGAGATATGATAGTTCTTCTTGGTTTGGACAACATGGACGACTTGTCTAACGTTGAGAAACGGAATATATCTTCAGTGGTCATCCACGAACAGTTCTCTTCGACAGCTCTACGTGACGAAAATGACATCGCTATAGCCACTTTGAACGCATCTGTGCCATTTGGAGAGACTATTTCTCCGATTTGCTTACCCAGTCCAGGTATGTAACACGACAGATTTAAAAAGTTATACTAAATTCAAAAACGCAAACATTCACATATTAAGAATGATTGATTTTGATTTTGCGTTTACTTGCTTCTAATCGAATCATCTCGATTCGTTGAAGCAAAAAAAGCTATAATCCGCCTATACTAATGGATTCTATAGAGAGTAAATAAATTATGTAAATTTAGATGATTACTAGAAGCAGTTCAGACACGAAATAATCTTGTCTTCTTTTCCCGAATTCTTTTTAGGTCAAAACTTCGGTGGATATGTTGGTACTATAGTAGGTTGGGGACGAATAGGAGTGGATAAAACTTCATCAAGAGTTCTCATGAAGGCGTCATTAAAGATACTGTCGGACCAAGACTGCATGGCGTCTAAATTAGCAGACCATCTCAAGCCAATGATGATGTGTGCGTTTTCTAAAGGAAAAGACGGCTGTCAGGTGAGCTAGTTAGTATGTTGGCAGCTTAAATGTAATTTATCAACGTCGATTGGTGCGAACCTAACGGGTAATAAACGTGTTTCGATTTTTAATTGCTTGAATAGTTAAGAAATGAATCACGCATTAACATACGGGTCAGCCCCACTAACAATTATAGGATTTTAAATGAACTCACAAAACGTAATTTAAATAATTATCCAAAAATGCGCACATTTCAGATAGATTTTTCATTAGTACAACAACCTAATAGAGGTCAAATATTTGTCAAATATGTAATGACCCAATTAAAAATCAAAAAGGATGATAGCAATTTAACTGGCGAAAAATAATGTAACTTATTTATTATAGGGTGATAGCGGAGGCCCGCTTTTGGTTTATGACACGAATGGAAGATATGTGCAAGCTGGTAATTGTTTTATTCTTATTGAATACATTATAGGAAGTTTTTCGTAATTTAAATTGATGATGCAATATTATTTCTACTCAGGTGTCGTTTCTTGGGGAATTGGATGCGCCGATCCTAGATATCCAGGTCGGTAAACAAAATAAACGAATGGAATTTAAATTAGTCTACAAAAATGTGTTTAATGTTGTTATAAGTAATGTTTATTTTACAGGAGTCTACACTAAAGTGAGCCACTTCATTGATTGGATTCGTCGACATTCAGGTAATGGAGAAATGTGCGAAAATTAATCGTAATTTGTAAATAAAACATTCTAAGAAATGAAAATTCGTTTGATTTTATTACTTAAAGCGAAATAACTTTATATTGTTTGTCATTCTTCTTCGTCCCTTGAATAACATTATAAATATTTAGAAAAAACGAAAAAGCTAGTGTAGTAGTAAAGCTATACGAATGAGTAAATTCACCACTTCGTATTAGAAATATTGTTTATCTGGCAATCATATAGCGAAATTATGAACCGATTTAACTGGTATGTATTTGAAATTTTTCTTATGTTCATATTTGTAATGTCAAAAATGTGTTGTTTTTTAAACTTTAACCTGGCAATTTGTGACCTTCATAATAGTATTGCCATGTTCAATAAATTGTTGTAAAATGTCAAACTTTTTTTGTGAATCTGATGAAAATTAGCTTTTATAAAACATTAGATTAGAAATACAGAAAATTTAATTATTGTAACCGAGTCAGCCTATTATTATACATGGCGCTATAGCATTTCTACGTATTGATATCGAATCACATTTCATTACAATAATGCTACGTATAATTCTTAGGTGATTGTGATTGGTTGTGGCTCGCTGGTGACAGTACACTAGATTCCATCCAGTGGTTAGGCTTTTGTCCTACTTGTTATCAATCTTCGTAAATAATTCGACCTAATTTAAACAAATGTAGTTGTTCCTAGTGAAATCTTCATTTGTTTTGATAAAAATAGTTAAGCCTAGCATGAATAAAGATGCCTGGAATAAGAAAATATCGACGTGATACCAGCGAAGTCAGCTGTTGTTTGAAATATGTTATATTTGGTGTTAATGTGCTATTCTGGGTAAGTTAAACATTAAATATAATTATTAAGTTAACGGTAATGACATAGAACACATTTTTAGAAATATTGTTTTAAAAGTTCTAATTTAAAAATGATAGAGGCACGAACAAAGGTTTTAATTCAAGGCTTCCATTGCGTGTGAACTATCTTATTACTAGCTTTGTGAATATTTGTTTCTATTAAAATGTTTTATTTTCGAAGTTATAAAAGGTGATTTGATTTCAATAATATAAAGAGTCAATTGGCCTTTGTTTTGACTTTTTTGTTCCTAATAACTTTAAAAACGATATAAAAGTAGAATTAAATTAATGTATAAATTTAAAATACATCATGCACAAAAAAAATTACACTATGCAACTGCGATTTAAGATAATCACAATTAAATTGGGAATTTAATTACTTAGAAATATATTAAAGACTACTTTCCTGGTAGTAGAATTTCATGTTATTACAGGTCTAATGACCTAGTCAATTCTGTTTTAGAAATATTTTTTTTCCTATATTGATTTGTTATTTTTTTAATTAACTATCTTAAAATCAAAGTTCAACACATAATGATAATAGTTATAAAAGAAATTACTTATATTTTTCAGTTTATGGGTCTCATAGTATTAGCAGTTGGTATATGGGCATGGATGGAAAAAGATACATTTAACAATCTCTCAAGATTAACAAATATAGCGCTAGACCCAGCGTTTATACTTATATGTGTTGGTAAGTGAACATCTGTATTAATATTTTAGTAATTTGAAAATATTGAAATTCCTGTTTAAAATATGTAGCTTAAGTAACTAACCACATAAAAAATGCTAATACTGGTAGGAGTCTATGGTTTCTGCAACTCCATGTCATCCAGCCATGATCACTCCAGCCAACCCAGCTCACTGAAGAATTCCAGAAACCCTTATACCGCAGTTTTTATTAGACAATGAGAAGTTATTACAATGACATATAGCTTTTAATATCTTTTTATCATCCCCATATCATTATTTAGAAAATGCTAATTGTAATAGTTGAATAAATTACAATATTTATGTATTTACAGGTACAATAACCTTTATTATTGGCTTTACGGGTTGTGTTGGTGCCTTACGTGAGAACACATGCCTTTTAGCTTGTGTGAGTATAATTTAAAAGTTTTGTACTTCAAAATGCTGCAAATTATTAAGCCACATTATGTTAAATGACTAATGCTTATTAGTCAGACTTGTAGCTAACATAATGGGTAATGGACAGAGGATAAATATATAAAATTGAGATTGTTTTTCTGTGTCCTAATTTCCTACTCATTCAGATTTTTTTTGTTTTCAGTATGCAGTATTTTTAGCTTTATTGTTATTAGCTGAAATGACTACTGGAATTTTATTTTTCGTGTTTAAAGATTGGGTAAGTTAATTTCTTAATTTTTATGTTTTTTTTTAATTTAAATCATAGTAGTGATTAATTGTGTATTATTTTTAATTTCAGATCAAACAACAAGCTACCAGTGGATTCCAATCGTTTATAACACATTATAGAGAGGATCCTGACCAACAGAATCTAATTGATTGGATACAAGGAGAATGGGTGAGATAACTTTTTTATATTAGTTGTCTATGATTTAGCACTGTGGAAAGATTCACATAAAACTTATTATCGTAGTTTTTGTTTTCTATCTCTCTAAGTTATCAGCTTATGATGATATGAGAGAGAGAAGTAGAGATAAGTCTTTAAAATGTCTCTACATGTTGTCATGTTGTTTATTTGTCAGCTCCAATGCTGTGGTGTAGAGGGTCCCCGGGATTGGGACCGTAATGCATACTTCAATTGCTCGAGCGGAGCTGTGGGCTCGCGCGAGGCTTGCGGCGTGCCCTTCAGCTGTTGTCGGAGTAAGCCTCAGGATATCATCATTAAGAATAAACAGTGCGGTTATGATGTGAGAAAGCCTACTTATGTAAGTACAATATTTCTTGTATTGAGTTGCGACTCAAGAAGGTTTTTGAGCAAAGAGTGTTTTCAGTTATATTTATCAGATAAACAATATATTTAGATACGGAAATAGGTACAAAGAAGTAACAAACCATATTGTATTCAACGATCTGGGGCATTTCAGAATATACTATCTTATTTCTTATAATCTAAACTCGATTATTTTTGTTCCATTTGATTCCTTTATTTATAGTCAAAAACTATATAACTGTCTCGATTGTCTTACGGTAAATTGTTCTCAACGAAATCTTAGAATCTTTAGGGTCTGTAAGTTTTTGTAAATGTTGGTATACAACAGCATGTAAGCGAGCACGTGATATACGAGCGCGGTTGCCTGGTGGCGGGCGAAGACTGGCTGCTCCGACACTTCGCAGTCGTCGCCGCGGCTGTTGTCACCCCTCTTGCCATTAAGGTTCAAACATGCGTACGCGCAACTCGTAGATCGAGCCACCGCTGCACGTGTCTATATAACGTCACTTTGATAGTTATGTGTGTTGCTAGTTTACATTCTGCCACAGATTAAATAGTGTTTCCGAAAGTGTTCGCTGCCTTTTTGAAACATTTTAAATTGACATTTGTAGTATTGGCTCCGTGAGAAGTAAATCTGTTTTGGCAAAGCTTTGGTGTTTATTGGTTTTGGTACGGAATTATTATTAAATAATATTTAGGTAATGTAATAAGAGTGATGTTTGATGTGGTAGTTTACATTTTGTTTGTTTTGTTTTAGAGTTTTGACATTGCTAAAATAATATATGACAAAGGCTGCTTAGAGGCTGCGGAGGAGTGGTTTGACCGCAACCTTTTGATTGTAGCCACTTCCGCTGTTTGTACCGCTTTTGCACAAGTAAGTTATGTACTGTAGTTACACCTTCACCGTTAGATTAGAAATATTTGTGTTTAGATTATGCTTTTATTTAAATACATAAGCTTTTTAATCTACATATTTTTTTATATCATAAGGTGGCAAACGAGCGGACGGCTTGAAATCCCTTAAATAGCGAAGTGACCGTCGCCTATAGACTCATGAGAGGATGAACAGAAAGAAAATATTTTCCCTTTCCTTCTCTCATCCGAAAAGTCCACTTCCACTTCCCATCCTTTCCTTATAAGAAAAAGGGTGGGAAGGGAAAGAGGATTAAATTACGCCTCCAAGACGCACACTCATCAGACGAAGCGCGGAATTGCTTCTTGACGCCTGTCTTCTGTGTGGTCGTGGTAACCGGGCGAGCCGGGCCAATTCGTGCGAAGATTTTAAAGCGAGCTCTACCACTGTTAAATTTACATTTTTACACACAGTTTTCTTATGATAAACAATTTTAAAGCAAATTTATAAATATGAAGCGACTTGCTTGTTCAGCCACCAACTCTACCTACCCTTATAATATATTTTTTCCAGTTTTAATTTAATTTTCTTAGTTGTTGAATTATTTCTTTATATTTCATAGATTTTGGGCATTTGCTTCGCTCAGAATCTCCGAGCTGACATATTCGCGCAGAAAGCGAAATGGCACTGACATTCGGCCTCTCCTGCTGCCGTGTGACGCGCGCCGCGACACAGCGACCCCTACCGGCTGCTCTACGCAGGACCCTTGTGACTTACCGACACATCGATAATCGATATCGAATACATCGATTGTCGATATCGGTTATATCGATACTTGAGTGATGTGACCGCATTAAACACCAATCGAATACAATAAAAGTTATGAACTGTTAAATATTTATAGTGCTGCGAAATGTTGATATCGATATTTGTAATTGATTTAAGCTTGCATAGTTGATGCTAAAATTATATATATTGTAGTATATAGTATATTATATATTAGATATATATAACTCAAGATTTATGAAAACTAGTGATGTTGATACTAAAAGCTTGTTCCTTTATTGCAAACTATTATTTAAATTATATATGCAACTAGTAATACTCAAGTTCCTTACAAATATTTGATTAGCAATGGATTTAACTGTAAACTTTCCTTTCCTATGGCATTCAAATCTACAAACAACTTTATTCTCTTTTACTATCAAATGTTATGAGTGTTGTTGTTTTGTAAAAGAATTTATCGATGTTAGTGTTCTGTTCTGTTTCTTGTTTATGGCTATCCCTCATCGGATTGGGCCAATGTCACCGATGTCTCGATGTTAGTGTATTGTGTTATTAAATTAAAATCAATTATCGCACAAAATTAATTAAAATTACATGAATAATGATTATACAGACTGCTATTTGTTATGTAATAAACATTTCATCCATTGTTTTTATGAAAATATCTTCAGAGTAAGACAATTTGAATAATGTTGTTTGTAAAAAAATAAATTTAATATAATCTATTTTTTTTGCAGTCTGTACGTATGTTAAGAATGGTTGAAATATTATAAAATTTTAATATAAATTTGATATTCTAAAATATGTGTTCAGATCTGATGTTGTAGCCTTAAATTAGTTAGCTTCAGATGTATTATGTATAGAACATACATTATGACATGTTTATTTGTGATAGTTCTGACTATTAATATCGTGATTTAAAATCTAAAATGTACTACATCGTATTGATAAATATATTTTGTTCGTAAATTGTAACATTTAAATGTTTATGGTTTTCATCACAAAAAATGGCGGGATTGTCTATGGTCTATGGTGTTGCCACGTAAGGGTCGTTACAAATGCAGCGGGAGAATAATGGCTGACAATACTAGTTTTAATGTAATTTAGTATTATTATAAAATGTTAGTTTAAAAAAATACTAACACTAATAATTAAGAAATACTCGTTAATCCGTCTCATTTACACTGCATTTTCTTTTTTTTACCCTTTTTACTTTCATTATTATAGTATACATAGATTAAAAAATATTTTTAATTTTCACAGTATTTTTTAATAATTCAACTAATAATGTTATTGTTCTTAAGTGTGTTTGATTTCTTTTAGTATTCTTAATGTTAGTAAAATTAGAACATAAATATTTTTTTTTGAGCCGATTCGCCGATTGGGTAAAACGTTAGATGAGTTATAAAAAATTTAATGTATATTTTATTTTACGTATTTAATAGTAATTATTTCTCAGGATATAGATTCCATATACTTTTTATGTTATTATTCAATTTAAGTAAAATATACTAAATCATAGTAAATACGTTAGTAAATGCCACTTTCGTGTATTTATATAAACCGGTATTTATAACGATTTACTGTGGGTTTCTAGAACTAATATTTTCATTTAAAAACATATTGTTATCTCTGTTTTATATAAAGATTTTGGTCTCAGAAACCCACGGTTAGTTGTAAATAAGGTTTTATGTAAAAAGTATATTTTTCAAACGTGAAAACTTGATATAACGATTTTTTTAATTCAACTTATTGTAGATTTATTAGGGTAGAAAAATAATAAAATTAGATAGAATAAATTCATAATTTTTATTTGTTTCTACTTTATTTTACTATATATTTGTGATTTTGTGATTTATTAATAAACACATTTATAATTAATAATTACTATAAGTTCTTGTATTTATGTATTATTTGATTTTATGTTATTTAAATATTTGCTTGATTCTTGCCGCATTTCTTATGTTTTTTTATGATTATTTTTCAATTCAAAGAAATTGTATTCCTTTTGTATTCACTACTATTAAACGCCTTTTCAATATTATTTTAGATATCGCAAGTGCATTAAGGTTACGGTTTTATATTAGTATTTTTATAATTATAATTTATCTAGATTTTTTATTTATTCTTAATATGTAAACTCTTGCTTAATATAAGTTTTATTTTTTTAATTCACAAATACAACATTTTTCCAGATTAATATTGAAAAATAAAAAAAACATCTCAAACCTTTTAGGACAATTTTTTTATATGCTTATATTATTACTATGTAAAAGACTGTAGTTAAATTTTATGTACGAAGCAAAAATTTTCTTTTACAATTTTTTTGCTTTTTTTTCTCTTTTAAATTTGTTTGTTATGATTATTACCTCAAATGTAACATTTCCTTAAAAACCAGTTTTATTTAAGTTTCAAATCTCATTTATTTGATCTCTTTATTACATGATATCACAATTTTAAATTTATGTATTCACTGCCTTAAGTCTTTGCTTTGCTTTTTTTAGCTTTTTGAGATTGCGCAAATTTTATTAAATTTTTATATTATTTTAGGAGTAGGATAGGTTGATATTATTTACAATTATAGTGGAATTTGTCTTTTAATTTAAGCTTTGATTATATCATTTATGTATTTTACTGATTCCAATTGCTTGATAAATTCGTTTACTCAATAAAATATTGTGATTTTCGATGTCCATGAAAATCTATATTCCTTTTACCTTACAAGAAAACTTTTGTTCTGAATACGTTTGTATTTTTTTTAGTAAATAATTCTATACAATAATTAATAAACTAAATAAAATAAGACAAGACTATATTAAAGATTAGTTATAAAAAACATGCATTGTTCGTAGACACGGCGTAAATTTTTATAATATCATTTCTGATGAAATTGTTTTATTAACAAAATTGATATTTTTTATGCGAAATATAATTTTAAAGATTTAAAGTATTATTATTTCTTATACCTATCACTATTCGAATACTTGCAAACTAAAATATATATTTTTTTTACAATTAATTTTATATTGATTCTTTATCCTATTGTGTCCTTGAGAATAATTGACGATCTCTGCGTACTTACGAGGTTTATTTCTAAGACAACTGAATACGGTACAAAGTATTTTACTTTTAAGACCACGTCCAAGACGTAAAATAGAATCAGTGTGACAGATACTGAGAGTTACTTTTCGTTAAGAAAACAGTTACAGTCTCCATTCACTGTGTGCTAATTCAAGACTAGAGACTAAATAATATCTTGATGTTAAATTATTGCTAAACTTTTTTTGGACGGACGTGAAATAGACTAATAAATACAATTATTTTTAGTCTGTAAAACGTTAAAATGTTAACAAATATATAACATGATAATATATGCGGCTGATAAATACAACATATTGTAAGTAGAGATGAACGTAAAGATGTGATCTTTGACAGTAAGTTTTTCTTATTAGGAGTGTACATAAGTACAAACCATTAACTCAGTTGTGATCACAATATGAAGACAGTGACAGGATGCAGTTGGACGACCGCACACGACGGTGGTCAGAAAGGGGCGCCACTGGTGCGACCCACAGTCTCAAATAACCTTGTTCCTCTTAAAGCTCAAAAAATCGGCAAGGGCGCTAGTAGAACTAAAACCATTACTCTGCAATTACAGTTCAGATATTAATCAGGTTAAAAATTAAAATACTCCTATCTGATACAATAGATGAGTAATAAGATAGCGCATTAAACCGCACGACAACTAGTCCAAGACTACCGTAGACGTGGAAACTTGAGAAGTAATGCGGATACCGTATCTAAACTTTGATAAAGTTTACGGCAACTATACGAAAGGGATTTCAATGTACAGAATACTTGGTCATAACGTCTTTATGTATTTGTAGTTTGTAGGTATACATACGTTCATGAACAACTAAACATTACAAAAGATAATATAGTTTTGGTTTTTAAATTCTATACCTTTTGAAAATACGCATAATCAAAAGAATTTAAAAATGTTCGTTGCATTTTATGAAAGAACATTTTAAATGTTCTAGTAAAGTCTGCATTGCACTCTTATCATTTAGGTCATAATTTTTGCGCACATTTTACCTGCAATTTGAATACAGATGTTACTTGCTTAGATTTAATACAGGCTACGAATGTTTTAAAGTAACAAAGTTCTACACTACTACGTAGAAAACGTGAGATATGATAAAGTTAGTTCGAATTTTCATTAAAAAAACAATATTTACGAGATGTATTTAATAATAAATTAATTAATCGAATTTATAAATTAATTTATAAGGATATTTATTTACTTACCGTGGATTTCTGAATCCAAAATCTCTGCATAACACTTATCGTCATTATTATCCTAGACAAAACATATTTTAAACGGGAATTTTAGTCTCAGAAACCCACGGTTAGTATTCTTTATAGTAATTTTGCACGCATAAAATACTTTTTAATTTCAATTTAAAACCATAAATCAAAAGCTATTTTAAATTTAAAAAGTTAAACCAATAACGAGAATTTATTTCTGAAAATTTAAATACAAATAAATGTTATTTCTATTTAATTTAAAATAACACGATATTCCAATACTACTAAAAGTGGTTCGAGTTCCAATTAAACAGATTACTGGGTGTATTGTTACGATGTTTAATGTAAAGCGAAGAGAATTCAATGACCAAAACTCAATTAACATAAACGTACAGTTCACAGAAAAAAGTTAATAATCAAATTTGTATTTATAAAAATTATATTTCATTTCATAAGGAAGAACTTTAATTAGTTCTGTAAACTAAAATAGTATCAAATGACAGTTTTTAAGAAAGAAAAGCATTAAAACACCATATCTTACTTCTTACTAATATTACAAAAGCGAATGTTTAGATGGATGTTTGTTTGAACGTAGCTCCAGAACCGCTGAACATTTGGCATACATATAGAACATAGTCTGGAAAAACACATAGGTCACTTAAAATGTTAGTTTTATTCCGCACAGGCGGCGTCGCGGCCGACAGCTAGTTATAACATAAAGATCTAATCAATCAATTAGGAAAACGTACAGGGAAAACACAAACAATAAGCTTTTTTATCAATAATTGCAAAAAAAAAATTAAAACTCTTAAATATTTTATTGGACCCAAATAAAAAGTTTAATACTACACTTTGTGTGTCCAGCATTTTAAATCAATTGTAAGTAATTAAAATAAAATTGTTTATTTAAATACTTTTTAATTATACCAGTCTCTTTTTATCTGTGGAAATTTTAATTAAAAACCGCCAAGCATTTTAAAAATAGAAATAAAATGGTCCGCATTTGTATTCATTTGCAGTTAAAAAAACACGAAACTGGAACTCTTTTCATTTCGGACGAATTACTGAGTGTATTGTGTTCCAATGTTCAATGTGAAACGTAGAATAATTCATTCAATGAACATCAAAACGCTATTAAAAACATATTTTATTCGAGAATTAAAATTATTCCAATGAAATACAAATAAGAGATAATTAAATAGTAAAACGCTTTTGCATTACCAACTTTTTGTGATGATATTTTTTGTATAGCTTTTGCATGCGTCTTCATTAGCGAGGAATTAGAAGAACTTAGTTATTAGTCTATGGGTTCTACCAGACTACGTATTACAACTTTGCCAAATTTCATCAAAATCTGTTGAGCCGTTCTGGAGATTTTAACAAACAACCATCCATCCATATAAATTTTTGTATAAATAATATTATAGGTGTTTCCCGCGACTCTGTCCGTGTGGCATTAAAAGTATTATTAGCCTATTAGTTCTTCCAGACTATGTTCTATATCTGTGCCAAATTTCATCGAGATCCTTTGATCCGTACTGAAGATACCTTCTAACAATTCATCTATTCAATCTTGCTGATTTACAACATTAGTAAAATAGTAAGAAGACAAGAAAGTAAAGGATAAAAAACATCGATACATTAAATCATTTTAGTTAATTGTGATATAGTTAATGCGAATAAGTCGATTTTTTCCTAAATTTACTGTATTATAAGTTAAAACATAAAATAAGAGCTCATTAAAAATGTTATCGTGGTGTTAAATGTGCAACGAATGCACTTGAATGCCACTAAAGGTGGTGCAAGTGGCTACTAAGTAGCCGGAATGGCATCGCGAACGGAACAAAGTGCTCCGAGAACGCTTCAAGCTTAAAAATTCCTCGCTGTAGAGCGCTAAAACTGCTCTACGCTTTAAAATAGCTGTGTATTTTAACTTTTAAGAGATACATTCCTTTTATACTAACATATAGTCAACAGTCTTATGTGTGTCAAATGTAACACTCGTATTTAAGGTGGAAGGATCGCTTACAATACGGATGGTTGCTAAATAAAACTTCAAATCATGGCCGAAAGGTCGTAGAATGGGGGCAACGTTTAAATAAAATAAAACAGGAGATTAGTCAGACCTTAAATAGCCGTTATTATGTAAATAAAACCAAAGATAAAACAGATAAAAGTAGTTTTTTGAAATAAACTCTGAAAATAATATTATTAAAGTTAAATGTGAGCTTGTATCAACTTGGGTCGTAATAAGGCGAATAATGTAACCAAAAAGTTTGTTTAAAAATTGTTATTATTTTTAATTAGCTCATAGAACAAGTTTCTCAAGCTTTAGTTGGAAACTGGCGGATTAATAAACATGTCAGCCAATTTGGAAAAACCGTCGCTTTTACATTTGGTATATTAAAGTAGATTTTAGTATTTTACTAGTATATTTGTTTATTTGAATAATTATTCATAAGCTTTAGGGTGTTTTCCACTAAATAATGATGCCATCGTAACAAGAGATGGGAATCATTTCATACAACAAAAGAAATAAGACTTAAAGTATAAAGGAATTACTCTAAAATCCTCTGTTTCTCGTAAAATTAACAACTAAATAGCAACCAAGGTTTACAAAGCAAAACAAGTGGCTTTACTTCCAATTTATTTTAAACGAATCTTGTTGCTGGTTTACTATTTCCATTTCTATTACTTTAAAAGAATTACTAGTTCTCGCACGCGAATCCGTCCGCGTGGCATGAAAAAAAACCTAATTAGTTGCCTTTGTGTTCTTCTAGACTGTGTTCTACATCTATGCCAAATTTCTGCTAGTCCCCTGCAGCCGTTCTGGTGATACCTTCAAACAAACATCCATCCATCCAAACATTTGTATTTATATTATAATATTAGTAAGAGTAAGATAGAGAGATGGCATTTGCGTAGTAGAACAGTGCTCTTGTTTTCTAGCTTTTTAACGTTAACGTTTTTTCTCTCTAACATTATTGTATGTATACTGCTTATATATAATAATTTTCCAAATGTGAAGGAATGTGTACATAAATAAGCATTTACTCACTGTTTATATAATTTTATATATTTTATGTTATCATTTAAAAAAATCTAACTTCGGATCTGATGCCGACTCACAGCAACTTGCGCAACAATTTAATTCATTTCCACCACCCCTAAAAATAAAACAAATATATAAATGGTTATTAACACGCTTACCAAAAGCTAGAGTTCCTTTAAATAATCGACACGTGTTGAACTCTAGAAATAGCCATAAGTTCAAATTTAAGTATCTACTTTATTACCCCGTACTTCCAAGTATTTAGTATTAGTACCTCGTACTTGGAAATGGAAAATTTGAATCAATATTCAGCTGGAAATTCTGCCGTAATTTACACAGATCAATATCAGACGGATACAAAAACGAATAAACAAAATAGGATGCGGTTTCCACGATACACATTGTCTATCCGAGAGCGTCGGTGGCTCAGGGGTTAAAGCACTTGACTTTTATCCGAAGTTCTTACGGAAAACATCGTGATGTAACCTGCATATTTCTGCGAAGAAAATTAAAGATATGCTTGAAGTCAACCAACCCGCACTGGGCCAACATGATTGACTATGGCCTAGTTACCCCTAACTTAGGGTAGGCTCCGAGCCCCTCAGTGAGGATGTATAGTGAACTGATGATATATACGTTGTCTGCAGTACTAAGATACCGTGGAAACGCGCAATATGTTTTTACATTTGATTACTCACGGTAGATTTTCTGCAATCCAGTTACAGTAGCAGCTAATCTTGTTGCCAATAATGACATGGTGTGTTGAATTCGTCACCTCACTCGCCGCAATCGCTACCAAATGGTTGCGATGTATAGATATAGCTCCCGAATGACCCTTGAAAATGTCAATAAAATACTAAAGTAATCATTGAAGTGTTCACTTTTCATTGAAACAATTTCACTTTACTTGTGTTTACATTTTTCACAGATTACCATTATTTTTGATGAAGATATGAAAATTTTAATGAATGCTTTCTGTCTTTCATTTACCTGTTTAATATTGGAAATTATAAGCAAATAAAAAATTATTTTCAATTTCACTTACCTGTACCTTCGTTGGTCTTTTCCTTATATAGCATATGGTCTTGTATTCATCTGTGAAATACAATAATTTGTATAAAATTATCAGATTTCTTATATATCAGAGGTAGACTGCATCAGTAATTGGGAATAGACAAATGGGCAGGGATCACTTCTCTATTTTAGCGAATCAGGTGGCTGTTTGCTTGTTTGCCTTCTCATACTATATATAAAACAAATTACGATTCAGTCTCTTACCGATAGTCCGTTTAACTTTCGCCAAAATACTTTTACATTCATCCCCTTCAAAGATAATGTATTCGTCCATGTTCAATGAACTGTGCTGCAATGTTGTTTCATTTTTAATATATTATAATAATGATACATCTTAGAAATGACTTTAATAATGATAGTAATTACATTTTAAAATTTTAACTTAATAGAGACGTCATCTTAGCTTTGTAAATTTCAAACATTACTTAACTAAACGTACCTTATGTTCATTTTTCGTCGTGGACTGGAAAACAAACAAAACTAATTTAAATTTAATTCTACCGTCTTCGTTAGTTTAGAATTAAAAATAAATAGCCAAAGACAGAACAGACATATAGACAAAAAAATGCATTTAGTTATGAGTAATTATATCGATGCTAACAAAGACTTCATTTAATAGTGTAATTTCACTAACCGATTCATCTTCAGAAGAGAGTAAAATCCTTGCAGTCATACGTAAATGCCTCATTTTCTTATAATAATACCCCTCCTGAAATAGATATTACTAATCTTACTAATATTATAAATGCGAAAGTTTAGGTAGATGGATGGATGTTTGTTTGAAAGTATCTCCTGCACAGCTCAAAGAATCATGTTGAAATTTGGCATAGAAGTAGAACGTGGTCTTAAAGAATAAATACGCTACTTATTAAGTTATTTTTTATTACGTTCGGACTTAGTTGAGGGCTTAATAAGTACTTCTAATAAATCTTTTAAGTTACCTCATCTTCAGTAGAATCGGAGCAGCTATCGGAAAAACTTTCTGTAGTCGTAGTTGTTGTGGTCTTTTTCACCTAAAAATAAAGTATTAAAACAAAATAATTTGAATACCTATCTCAAATTCTACTTAAAGAGAAGTACTTTGTATCTTCATAATTTGTAATCTATAAAGGGTCTAAGTACAGAAGTGTCTTTTATTTGGCTTCCATATGGCTCAGGTTTACAATTTGTATTTCAATTGTAACTCGAATCAGCAAAGTCAAAGTTCGTAGAATTATTTCAACTACTTCAGCTAGTTTAAATATCCATACCGTTAGGAAGAAATTCCGACAATGTTCCGATGTATTGGTACAACACTATCTTTATTAAAATGTCAACGTTTATGTCCCCTCACTAATCATTCTGACACATGACTTTGTAACGAAAACGCGCCATTCGTGCCAAAGGATTCTAACTAATAATATCTAAAAATACTTACTTTGTTTTTAATAAACTGATTCCAATTTAGCACGCTAATTTTCGTATGGACAGATGTAAAAGCATTTCCATCCGCTAACGGTATAATATTTCCTGGTTTATCTGACATCATACCAGCAAAAGTGTAAACTAACGCTAAGTCCGCCTGTATGGCTCTGTAATCTGGATGTATCAATACTCTTTCTATTGGTAAATACTGTTCGTAACCAGATTCGAACATATTCTTAGATCCAATGATGACAAACGATCCTGTCAGCTCAGGTTGCAACTTAGTAGCTTCGTTTCTTTCGACCTTTTTCAATTCACTAAAAGAATGTCAGTAATTAAATAAAAAGAAACTTCACCTGGCCAAAAACAAGTAAACCTTCAAAGTAAAAAACTATAAATCCTCAAGCCTTTGATTCTAAAAACTTATTCTGAAAAGAATGGATAAAAATCACGCCAACTACTACAATAATATATATTCCTTTCCATTATAAATTCCTAGGCTTTACTATTATATATTACTAGCACTCGTCCTCTAATTTAAGTCTTCTAAGGTTTTAAGTCAACCAACCAGCACTTGGCCATCGTGGTTGGCTAAGGCATAGTCACCCTAAACTTAGGGTAAGCTCCGAGCCCCTCGGTGGGGACATATAGTGAGCTGATGATAATGATGATAAAGGTTTATATTATGTTTTAATATAACTTACAAGCAATGTGCTGCACTAATAACGACATAATCATGTATTATTGCGCCCGTGCAGTTCCTCCTCCACTCATCCGTAAACATTATCCTAAAACGTTATTAATTTTAGTTTAATTCGATTCAGTTGCTTTCTCTTTATTAATAATATTAGAAAGCTTTGTTTGTAGTGGCTATGAGACGATAATACTTAAGAACTTAGGTTCGTAATAGAGTAGAACTTCATAACCCTGCCTCTTTCGTTAAGTACCCATAAGACATCAATGTCAATCTCTTCCCGAATATTAAAATCAAGTGTTATTCTGGTTGTGCTAGTTGTTATTAATATAATAACAATGAGTTCAAAATATTACTCTATCAACGCCACGAATGTGTAATGGTCGTCAGGAATTGCTACAATTTTATTATTTTCTTGGTCTGGTATATGAATAGATTCAATATTCTGTGCCCCCTCGTTCTGATTGTGTTCGGTTCCTTCCTGATTTTCCGGTGCAGGGTTCTCCTGTTCTTGACCTTCAGGTGGTGGTTCTTCTGGTTGTTGTAGAGGATATTGTTGTACATAGTATGTACCTGTAATAAAATAGAGATTAGTTTTCTAAGCGTAGCACTTAAGTTCTCGTACTGTTCGATGGACGGGACATTATGAACCAAGCTGTACATTCACAAAACTTCACTAGTTTTACAGTTTCGTTTGACACGATTAGAGGTGCTTTTGACGATTTAGTGAGAGATAGCTATATAGATAGATAGATAGATATTGACGGATATCCTTAAAATAATACCCATATTTGTCCACTCTATTAGAAATACGTATTTCAATTTAATTATACCATACGAATTAAATTTAATTAAATTCAAGATATCAAAATATTGTCGTCAATACTAATATTTTAAAGAGGACAGCTTTGTTTGCATTGACATGGCTTCGAAACTACGGAATCGATTTGAAAATTATTTCACTATTGGGAAGCCCCAAATGATAAACTCTATATCTATTACACGTTTTTTTATTCCGCGCTACCAAAGTCATGGGCAACTACTACCAACCAATAAGTACTTAAGTAATTCTCAGTGGGCGACGGGCCGCGTCCGCGAAATAATACCAGTCCAACTCACCCTGACGAAAGGCCCCCGTTGGACTCGAAACTAGTCGGTACCGCCACCGGACTAATATACGTGAGTGTTTAGCCTTTTTATATAAGTTTAATTCTGAATGATAAATAATTTTAGTCTTACCATTATTCATCCCAGTATTTATACCATTATTTTTATTTGCGTAAACATAACACAATATTTGAAAACTAATAAAATAATAAATTGCCGTCAAACGCGGAATATATTTGATTTTCTGTATTAATTTCATTTCAACGAATGTTTTCATTTACTACTTACAACGGTGGTTTTTAATTAAAATGTTTTTGATAATGTCCGTGATGTTTACGTTACATTGATGAAAATGTTTGAATTAAAAAAAAATGTTTCTTCTGATAGTAACCAATTGAAAATAACGTGAAGTAACATTTTTTTTGTTATTTTCTTTCAATTAATTTCGTATATGAAATTGATATCGCTAAATTAAACTAATACTAGCTGTCGCCCGCGACTCCGTCCGCGTGGATATATAAAATAACTTAATTAGTGTAGGCTATGTGTTCTTTCAGACTATGTTCTATACGTATGCCAAATTAATCGAAATCCGTTCAGCCGTTGTAGAGATATCTTCAAACGCCCATCCATCCATCCACATCACATCCATCTAAACATTTGCATTTATAATATTAGTAAGTAAAAATAAAAATAAAAAAGAGAATAAATAGTATCCACCAATCACCAATATGCAGCCATATCGGTAAAGCCGTTCTTGTGTTATAAATAGTGTAACTAACACGACTTTCTTTTATATATATAGATTATAAATGCGAATGTTTAGATGGATGTATTGTTTGAATGTATCTTCAAAACGGATCTGGATAAAATTTGCCATAGATGTAGAGGATAGTCTGGAAAACACATCGGCTACTTATTAAGATTTTTTTAATTTCGCGCGTATGTAGTCTCCAGCTACAGCTAGTGTATAATATTTTTAAATCCTGTAAATTATCACAACATAATAGCATAGTATAAATAAATGTTAACGGTTTTATTTATAAATAAGAATATGAATATAAATACTATAAAATGTTTAACAGATAATACTACTGCGTAAGTACACGAAACACAATTTTATTTTCAATTACACGGTTATTTACATTTTACATTATAATTATTGTCTCAAATATTTCAATTTCAACTTATAAATGCTGAGATAATCATAGTATAAATTGTGTCTTGTCTGAAATTGAGTTGTAATTGGATTTAGGCATGAAATGAAATGCAAATAAGTTTTTTACGTTCAAATAAGATGAAATAGAATTACATAGATCGATATGAATGGCGCTATATTTTATCATACACTAGCTGTGGCCCACGACTCCGCCCGCGAGAAATTAAAAAAAAAAACTTAATTAGTAGTCTATGTTCTTCTAGGCTATGTTCTACATTTGTACCAAATTTCAGCGAGATCCCATGCAGTCGTTCTAGAGATACCTTTTAACAAACATCCATCCATCTATCCAATTCATTCGCATTTATAATATTAGTAAGAAGTTATATAGGAATCCGTATATTGTAAGATAGTAGGTCAAGAGATATCGTTGTTTCTACTTAACTTTATTGAATTTCGAGACATTTTTATTTTTACTAAGCGTCTTAAACAATGACAAGGGTCGCGATATTGATTTTATTAGTTCTAGCAATATTGAATCTAATCTAACATTAAATAATAAAAAGATTTTATTGTTTGCATTGAACAGGCTGCTAAAGTCCTAAACCGATTTGAAAAATTCTTTCACTTTTGGGAATCTACAATATCTCTAGTGCTATAGACTATGTTTTTTTATTTTGTTATTTTTTTTTTCAATCCCGCGCGGACAAAGTTACGGGCAACTGTTAGTTATAAACATAGAAAGTATAAAAGCTTTTATAATTGTGGTTTATGCAAGTATAGAACATAATGCATGCTTACTTTCTCATAAAATATATTTTAATTTTAGTAAAGTAAATGTATTCAAAAATATTTATATAACATGCGAGACGCATTCTTTCAAGATCTCTATTCTAATCCACTCTGAAACCGTCTATAGACATTCAGTTTACACTGTACAGTGAGACGATTCAGTTAAATCGTAATGTAGGTAAAATTTTAAAGCCGGCTACACACCATCAGTTTCCACTGAACAGTCAGACTGTTGAGTGTGTAGCAAGACTGGAAGTGTGTAGCTGGCTTAAAGAACAATATGCAGTTGCAATTAGAGTAATGTAACGTGTTTAATTTAATTAAAGCATCCTAAAACAGTATGCGCTTGTGCCTTAGAAAAAGGGAACACATATTCACAAATCATAGTAACCGTGTGTTTCTACTGTTTTTCAAATGTGTAAGAGAGATGATAATGTGATTTTGTGCAGGATTATTGCAGAGAAAACCAACCGAACAGAACATTATTCATTTGCTCCTTTGTCCTTTAAAAAAATAAAGATTATGAACTTTATTTTTTCTTCAAATAGATATTTGATTCGTTAGTTTTTGTTATTATTATCTGTAAATTATTATAATAAAAAAAAATTACACTCGTACATTTACATACTAGTTCTTAAAAAAAATTTATTCATTTTCATTTTAAATTCAATCAAATTCTGTAATTAAAATTGCTAAATTAGCAATAAAATTATTTTCCTATTATTGTTTAGAAATAACTTACGTTATTAATTTAGAGAGATATTTATCAAAGCAGTGTTTAAGCTTATAAAAATAATATTTGAAAAATATTTTTCATCAATTTTCAGTAGCGGTAGTACACGAAGTCTGTTGTTGCATACGTTTCTCGGAATATGATTTCCGTGTGCTCTTTATTTTAACGGCAGCTTATCCACACGTTCACAAAATATTGAAGTAAACTTCTGACATTCCGGTAATAGGAAATGTCCGAGAATTGCTTTGATATAAATGAGATAAAATAGAGAAATTTCAACCTTGCATTTACATACAACAAAGTTATTTTTTACGATTAGCTAACTCAACTTTATATTCACATTTACCTGAGGTACTTACGGTGAAGGAAAACATCGTGATGCAACCTGCAAATATAATACCTAAAAATTTGTGTAAAGTCAACTAACTTGCACTGGGCAGAGTAGTTGACTAAGTCCTAGTTACCCCTTACTTAGGGTAGGCTCCGAGCTCCTCAATGGGGACGTATAGTGATCTGATGAAGATGAAACTTAACTTTTATTTAGGAGGAGGAAAAACAACGTAATATAGTTTTTTGTTATCCCCACTGCCTCCTATATCCTGAGATGAAATTGCAAGAATTGCAAGATGCACAACATGCAATTCTCGGAAGTTAACCACGTTGAGCCCGCGTGGTTGATTAAAATCGAATCATTTATAGGCTAGCCTGAACTAGTTTTGAGTCCCTCGGTAAGTTTAAGTATGAACCGACGAATGAGATTGAATCTTTTACTTTATCCAAAGTATGGTCTTCAAAACGATACCATACATTTATATCGTATATATCCTCTTTGTATGATTTAAGTTACTAATATGATCATTGCGAAAAATAATATTTTCTGCTGATTGTTTTGTTTTTATTTGTAACCAACAATAATGTTTTTTTGGATCAAGGCGTTACTAATTTGGAGATAGTGGAAAACACAAAAGAAAGGACACGTGACTTGAAAGAATAAAAAAAGCTAGAAAAGACTGCCACTCTATTGTTAATGAGCAACCCATTGGAATGAGAAAGACGTGACAAGTATATTAAAAAGAACATAATCACAAACAGTGAAAACTAGTCTTAAATACACTAAATACCGTACTTAAGAGGCGTTTAGTGGTGAATAAATGACACACTTAGTAAAGGTTAAGGCTAAACTAAGGGACAATGTAACATTTGTCTTGTCACTTTATCTTTTTACAAATCTAATCAGCTCAATTTTTTTTCCGTAAAACTTTACACGTAAACCAAAAAAATTGTTTCAAACTACAATGCTTGTTAACAACATGCTTTTCTTTTGTAAATCCAATAATTTATCAGCTATCGACGGCATATTGTTGTTGTCTTTCGCCGAGAGAGCTATACTGAGCTGCAAATTTATTGGTCCATATTTTACACTATGAAACGTTGTTATGTTATCTACAAACTTCAATTTATACAGAAGTATTGAGTATCAAATAAGAAATAAAAGGATAGAATATAGAAAGGAACTTGAAGCAAATGACTGAATTATTTATAACGAGTATTGTTCAAGACAAACATAACAAAAAAAATCGCTGATATCTTCTCGTGCGAAGCCGGGTCGCTAATACTGTTTAAAATAAGAAAATTAAAGTGCGTGTCAGCCTGTTTTCTTTCTTATTTATCTTGTCCTCTAAATCAAATTAACATAAGTGGATGCTTTTAGACAAACTCCAATTAGAATAAAATACACTTAAGTTGCTTTTAACATTATAATAATACTCTTAAAAATAATATTCTATTTGCAAGAATAATTGCTTATTTGATGTGGTTGGGTGACTAAATTAGCGACAGTATCTCCTTAAACATATCTACGATATCAACATTGCTTCGTAGTCAGCAATCTTAATAAGTCTTATAATCAAGTATCCATCATAAACCTATGCTCATTATGAGCACACTAGTTAATTTATTAGTTTACTACGGCGTATTCTTACCGCCTTAGGGTTATGTGAGCCTGTGTAATTGGCAGACCTATGGTATAACTTTCTGCACAGCGCCCTGGCCGGTTGTCAAACCGCACCCTAACCTAACGCCGGTCTTGTTTTGTACGGGACCCACAATATTTATATTAAAAGATAATCTAAAGAAAGATTATTATTTCAATTCTTGGAACATTCACGATTCAGTTTTAAATATAAATTTGGAAATCTTCCAAAGAATCACTAAGTAAATGCCACAGATTTAATAGTACTGGAACGTTTAACTCTAACTAGCGCTATGATGGTGAACGAACGCTTTCTAAAACCAATATCGAATGAAATGGACGCGACGAACGCTGATTTCACACGAGAACAGAATAGTAAAGCAGAGCAGTACTGTTATTGGTATAACAATAAGTATGCGCTCAAACAATACCAGTATTGTAATGTAGTACTGGTCTGACATACTGTTCTGCGCACGTGTAAATCTAGGATAACGAGGGAATGCGAGTATTTTCGCGGCTTGCCTTTGGACCGTATCACAATGAACGCGATTGTGAAAGTATAAA